GAAGACTGGTTTTAAGAAATTTGATTCTGTTGTGCCTTGGGGGAGTCGTCTGCGTGTTTTGTGCTTGGAGTTTGTTGAACTTCTTGGATCTATGGGTTTACAGTTTTCATCAAATTTGGGAAAATTTAAGCCATATTTCTGCAGATGTTTTCTGTGTCCTCCTGCACTGCTGCCAGGAAGCTTTCCAGGCAGACACCTGGGGTGACTGGGGCTTGTGTTGTTTGTTTCTCTTCACCGGCATTACCGTCCTGTGTTGCCTGATGTCCAGTGTCTGAAAACCATAGTTTCCTACATTTTGTCTGTTTTAGGTGTTTCATGTGGGAGAGTAAATCTGGTCTTTGTTACTTTGTTTTGGCTAGAAGCAGAATTCTAATGATCTCCAGGGAAATTTTTAGTTGTAAAAATGTGATTAGAAGCTTTTGGTTTAAAATAAATAGCGATAGCATCGGTAGCTAATATTGGGATGCTTCCTCTGTGCCAGTGCTGACGTGGTGCTTCTCCTGTGTTAACCTGTGTAGTCCTTCAAACTCCTCTATGAAGTTCACAGTTCTGTTTCTATGTCTTCATTCCCATTCCTGTAGGTTAGGACGTGGGGCAGAGAGAGGTCAAGTAACTTGTCCAAGGTCGCCTTCAGATTAAAATGGGGCTCTGAGGTTCAAATCCGGAGGCCAGGACCCTGGCAGTTTTAGTTCTCATGTCTGTGCTCTTAGCCGTTAATGCTGTACTATCAACCAACAACTGACTGGAAGTTTCTGGTAAGCCTTTCTGGTTCCACTCAGCGACCCGGCGTACAGCATCTACTGATAGACTCAGTGTGCTGAACTCGGAGGACCTGGGCCAAGTGATGCAGACAGTGGTTCACCTGAGGGCAGGGAGGGAAACTGCTTCCCCACTGTCTCTCCTCTTGTTCACAGTCATCCTCCGAACCAGCCAGAACACTGGGCAGCTTTCCCTACGCTGCTTTTCAAACCTTGTGCCTCTCTGCCCCATGTGTACCCCTCCGTTGATATTGATAGCTTCCAGGAAGAGCTGGTCTACGTAGAATGTGGTCTGGGTATGATGGAGAGGATTGTAAAATGATGGGGGCACGTGGCTTTCTGGAACCATTTGAGTTCATCCAATAGTGGGTAGGCTAGGATGGGAGCAGTCAGGAGAAGCCCTGGGTGCGGTGCACACTGGGTGTTATGGATTGAATTGTATCCCCTCCAAAAAAGATATACTGAAGTCCTAACCCCAGTACCTCAGAATGTGACCGTATTTGGAAATAGGGACGTCGTAGATGTGATCAGTTTTGTTACGATGAGGTCATATTGGAGTCAGTGGAGCCCCTCATCGAGTGGGACTTGTGTCCTTATAAGAAGATGGCCATGTGAAGACAGAGACACCCGGAGAGAAGCCATGTGACGACAAAGGCAGAGATCAGAGTGATGCAGCTGCAAGCCAAAGAATGCCAAAGATTGCCAGCAACTACCAGAACCTAGGAAGAGGCAAGGAAGGATGGCCTTGCTGACACCTTGATTTCGGACTTCAAAATAAGTTTCTGTTGGTTTAAGCTACCTAGCTTGTGGTACTTGTTATGGCAACCCTAGGAAACAAATCCACTGGAATTGTAGTTTCTTTCAGGCACATTCCGTCCTGTAACAAGCCATGTTTCTAGGACACAAAGTAGCTCGTGTGCTGCTGGGGGAGAGACATCAGTAATGCAGAAGTTGAGCTGGAATGTATCAGATTTTTCTCAGCACATTAGTGATTTCTGCCGTAAAGAAACAGGGTTTGAACGTCAGGGACGCTCAGATGCTGACGTTCAGCCATCTGTGGGGGTATGCTGTTTTGTTTGTGGTGTGCAGACATTCCCCACCTCGGTTCTGCCTCTTACCCATTTTGATTGCAGGCTCTTTCTCAGAAGTGTTTATTGCATGGTTTTCTCCATCTTTATATGTTTTGTGCTTGATTCCATAACTCAGAACCTTCAATTTTTCCTTTTATCCTCTCTCGTCAAACTGTTGCCACCTTTTTTTAAAGGTAAAATTCTACGTTAACTGGAATTTTTATTTATTAGGAATTTCACTTTTTTTTAAACTATGGTACTGTTTTTATTAGAGTTATTATTGATTTTTGTAGTGCACTGGTTATTAAATTGCCGTTTGAATAGTGTGCTCCAACCTTATTTTTTCATAAGCTCCAGTATTTTTAGTATGCAATTTTGTGAAGTGTGAGGTTCTTCCAGGAAACATATACTGTATATATTCAATATATATTGAAATAATATATATTACTTCTGCATACAGGAGCAGAAACTTTGGTATTCTGTTTAATCCACAGTTAGGAGAAGAGTCCATCGCATCTGGCAGCACTGCACTAGATCAGAGTCTGCTAGACGTGGGGCCTTTGTCTGGGAGCGTGTGTGTCAGTGCCACTGGTGTAGCGCCGAGAGCGTTGTTAACCAGCGTTACAGTGGACGCAGAACGGGGTAGGAGCAAGTGTACACAGCCTTTTGACAAAACTCCTGTCTGGACTGGAGTTATTCTTACTTGAGGACAAATAAACAGAAATAACCCCCACCATGGGCCTCCAAATGGTATCCAGAATGTGGGGAAAAGGGAAATATCCTGAAAGGTAGAAGACGACTATACCTCTGAACGTGATTTACAATCAAAATCAGAAAAATAATTTTCTAAAGACTCTGGCCAGGAGAACACAGACAGGAGCAGAAGGTCGTGAGGAAGGAGTCAGCTGAGAGGAAGGATTATGGGATGAGTTATAAAGGGAAATGGTTGAGAACAGAATTTAAGGTTTAGTTAAAATCTGTAATAGAAGCTGTAAAGAATAAACTGATATCGTGGAAAATAGCAGCAGCGACGTGGAGAACATACTTGAGAAGAGGCCTGGGAATGCAGAATAAACAACAGATGTGCCAGTGGCGAGAGAGGCCGGATATGATGGCGAGATGCCAGCCAAATAGTAAGGAATCTCTGAAGAAGCCAAAGCAAGTTTAACAAAAATAATAATCACAATGTCATGGGAGAGCATTTTCCTGAGCAGAAAGAAGATCTATAGTTATTGAAAGCTTCATGTTTGGAGCAAAATAAATGAAAAGAGACTCTTACCATATATCTTCTGACAACAGTTTTGAATTTCAAGATTAAAGAAAAAAAAATCGTAGCAGAATCCAGACTGAAGAAAATGACAACAATAGCGTCATCAAAACTCAGCTCCCAGGGGCCGGCCCAGTGGCGCAAGTGGTTAAGTGGCGCGTGCTCTGCTGCGGCGGCTGAGGGTTCGCTGGTTCAGATCCCGGGTGCGCACTGATACACTGCTTGTCAGGCTATGCTGTGGCGGTGTCCCATATAGAGTAGAGGAAGATGGGCATGGATGTTAGCCCAGGGCCAGTCTTCCTCAGCAAAAAGAGGAGGATTGGCAGATGTTAGCTCAGGGCCGATCTTCCTCACAAAAAAAACAACTCAGCTCCCAGAGGTGACCTAGAGCTGAGGGTGGGGCAGTGTCTAAAGATTTTGAGGGAAAAATGCTTGTGATCTAAGACTTTTGTACCCAGCCAGGTTGTGATTTTTGTGTGAAGGATGCAGAGCCATCTGAGATTTTGCAAAGGTTTGCAAAATATACCATCTGTGTTGCCTTCTAGATAATGATGTTTCTTTCTGACCAAGAGATGAGTAAAATTTCTGAACCTGAGATAAATAAGTCACTGTGTTTCCTAAGGAAATAACCAGATACAGAACAATAATCGTAAAGATGTCACTCACAGACTTACAGACAACATATAATTGGAAACTACCTCAATAGCCAGCCTTCAGTGAGTAATCCTTTATGTGATGAGTGTTTAGAGTTCTTTGGTTATAAACCATAGGGGGGAAAAGAATCCTCAAATAATTTAATCAAGGACAGAGATTTGTCCCACTATTAAAGGAAGAGTTGAAAGAGAGGCCTCAGAAGGGCCTTGAGCCAGGTTAATAGGAGAATTAGAATCTTCATCATTATATTTTCTCGGTTTATTTCCGTAATCTGATTATAAAAATAATACCTGCTCATAACAGAACAGTTTAAAAAGTCGTCCATAATGCCATCACAGAGGCCAACACTTGGTGGTTGGAGTTCTTGGACTTGTCTCTGGGCCCTTGTGTTCAGTGACTGATCTGTGGAAGAGTCTGGTCTTGGAGAGAGGATTTTATGAGCCTAGCTTGAGTCACGTGCCACCCTTTAGTCTGGGGACAGTGCCCTGTGACTGGCAGGCTCATCAGAGCCACCTGAAGTCGGGGAGGGGCAGCTTCTACCACGAATGGAATGGGAAGCAGTCCTTCACATGGTGTTACCAAGAGTTGTTAATGACACTGGAAAATTCCCGGCTGTAAAATCAGCAAAGAGTATAGGATGTACAGCTGTAGAGCTGGCAGTCTGTATGGGAAAAGCCAAAGAAACAAGTGTCAGAATATTAGCAAGTGTTGGCCTCTGTGTGATGGTATCGTGGATGACTTGAAACACTCTTCTGTGATGAACACACATTACTTCTATATCAGAAAATGGAAATAAACTGAGAAAATGGTAATCCTGAAGATGGAAACATGGGGAAACATTTAAGGTATAATGTTAAGTGAGGGAAGCTGAATTTAGACTTAAATTCTGTGATTGCGACGATGTAAAATAGGAATGTTTGTGGATGCAGGCTGGATGGGAGAGTACAGAAGTGAAAAAACCTGTGGTGGGAGTGGGTTTAACGTGACTTTTCTTTTAAAAATTTTCCATCAATAGTGCCGAGACTGAGAAACTCTGCTCTACAGACATGTTTTTACACATATTCACACACATTTACTAACAAAAATCCCAAGTGATTTGTATGGGTAGAAACCATTCCAGATGAACTGTTTTACCAACCCATGGTCAACACAAGAGTGAAAAACGAAATCATTGTTTCCTTAGTTGGATGTTGCTGTCCAGACAAGAGCCTTCAATCTTCACAGAAGCCTCTCCTCTTTCTCTAACCCCACAGGTCACCTCCTGAGAGCCAGTGGGAGACCTTGCCCTCCTCTTGGATTACGTGGCCTACGAGACGTGGTCAGCGAGACTCGGAGCTTCTGTGGCTGTGGTCCAAGCCTGCCCGTTGGCTGTACTTGTATGTGTCGTTGGAACTTTTGAGCTCTTTGGAGCTATTGTTTACGTGGAAATTTTGAGCCATTTTGAACCTCTTGAAGGAGTAGACGCTGCTAGCAATGAGCTCCCAAAGCCATCCAGGTAAGGCCGGCCCTCACTCCTGCAGACAACAGGGCTCTCTTCCACGGATGTGAGAGCTCTGTGCCTGCAGCTTGCTCGCTGGATTTTAGACTTTTGTTTTTCTTGATAATGGCCACTGATGGTTTATGACAGCACCAGGTGCAAAGAAGGTTGTTTGTTCTTCATCTCAGTGAAAGAACAACTGATAAAGGCCTCGCAGGGATTTGGGGTGAAGTCTTTGGCCTTGCTTTGCAGGCTGACTTGAGAGGTGCACACGTTTCTTGGATGCCAGGAGAAAAGCACTGCGCTTTAGCGGGGTGATGTTTAAAGGCCAATTTGAAATTTGGAGAGTTAATTTCTTATCCAGTTTCTTTGTTTCTGGGGAACTTGTCGGGGGGACGGGAGTGCTTCTGTGACTGGGCCTCTGGGCTGAGTCTGAGAAGCACAGGATTCACACCCATCCAGGTGGCCTCGAGAATTGCTCCTGGTGATGAGTGCTCTTTATTAGATACTGCGCTGAGCGTTTCATGAGCTTTTGGTCTTCACAGTGCCCCAGCAATCTCAGAGCTGGAGGGAAGAAGTGACTTGTCTAAGGACACAGAGCTAACATGTGGCCAAACGGCATTGGAAACCACCTTTGTCTGGCTCTTAGCTTCAGAAGCGTGTTATGGGCACATGCATGTAGGACTTCTCTTTATCCCCTGGCAGAGTCACAGTGCACACACCCGAGGGAAGCCTGAGTCCTGCCTTGTCCTGCCTAACAGGTCTCAGCCTCCTGCAGAACCAGTACCATGTGCTGCCGGGCCTGCTGCCACTGCCAATGCGTCGGGGCCTTTAGAGGCACTTAGATTTCAGGTCTGTTCTGCGTCCATGTGAGAGGGGGATTGGTGGCCCCTGGACAGATGCTGGGCGTCCATGAGGCACCGGTGTCTCTGTCAGTGCAGCTTGGGGTCCAGCTCAGTAGAGTGGAGGCCAAGTCTTAGAGTCTGGGGGTCTCCCTTTGGGATTGCCCCAGAATATTCACACACCTTCTCTTGGCCTGGATCGGAGTTGTCTGCGATCTGGATCTGAATCTGGAGTTGGAGAGCAGGATCCTCGGTTATATTTAGATACAAAGGCTTTATTGATTTAAATTGTTCATGTATTGAGAGAAATAAAGAAATGATATATGGTCATTGTAAAACAAAATGAAGCAGTCTGGATTCAAGTGTGTAAAGTCGACACTGAATGGTGCCCAGCTCTCTCCCTCTCACTTGGAGGAGCCACCGTGGAATTGAGAGCCTGCCTTTCTCTTGTGCTTGAACATATAGGGGTGTGTGTGTAAACGTTTTAATAGAGAGTAATCATTCCATATGTGGGGTTCTGTGTTTTATTTTTTCCATTTTAATATATTGCAAGCATCTTTTGATGTTAGCATGGATATCAATCCAACTGTCCCATTTCTGTAGCCCGTAGATGGATGTTTATGTGGTTGCAGCCATATTTATAGTGCATCCCTATTTATAGCCCCAAATTGGCATCAGACAATTATTGTACACACGTTTTCTACATACACTTCTATAAGTATCTCCGTTGGATCAATTCCTAGAAGTAGAATTGCTAGGTCGTTGGGCATGTGCATTTAAAACATTAGGTTTACTGTCAGATTGCTCCGGAAACTCTGTCTCAACTTATCTGCTTAATTACAGTTTATGAGGATGCATATTTTTCTTCATCTGTGCCAGCACTGGGTGGGTTCAATCTATTTCATTCCTGTCAGCATGCTAGGGGAAAATTATTGTTTGGATTCACATTACTGTATAAAAGGGGGTGCGCATTTTTGTATGACATGATGTAGACGTAATCAAATCTGGTACATGCCACCCAGGCGTTTGAAGAGAAAGGATGCTTTTTTTTTCTTTTTGTTTTTTGTTTTTGGTCTGTATGTAAAGTTTTCTCATTCATAGATATTATATACTTATATATAGGAGTATATGTATGTGTTCTTTCTCTATTTGTTATTTTCTCTATACATATTAACTCACTTGAGTTATTTAAATCAGTGTAGCTTTGCTGTTTTTTTTGGCCTCCTCGATTTCTGGGAAAATGTGAAATTTTGATTATAGCTTGTAATACTCTTTTTGCATTATTGACCATTTTTTGCTTTATGTGTTTCAGTGTGGTTTTCAGTGCTTAAAAATTAATGACTATATCTCTTGGTAGCCCAGGTCTCTTCATGAAATACATTTTTCTTTTTGTTTAATGTATTTCTTTTTGTTTAATGTTTCTTTGCCCAAAAGTTTATTATGTCTCCTAAAAGTATTTCTGCCCTTGATTCCTTTTGGCTAACAAACATTTATCAAACAAACAAACCCACTTATCTTAACCTCCCAGGCCTTCTCTTTGAAGCTTATCTCTGTGAACAGCAGAGAGCCGGGTTTTGCTTTTTCTCCTTGAGAGTCTTTGCCTTTTATGTGGGGAATTTGCCCGTTGATGTTTATTGCAATGGCTGTTGTTGCCACCCACTGACCCCTGTGGTCTCTGTCCCTCTTGGTGGGTCAGAGACTGAAGATGGGGTGGAGCTGGTGAGGGCAGGTCTGCCTTGCCAGCCCGAGCCTCTTCCCTTCTCTTCCGTATGTGGATGTCTGTTGTGGTGGTGTGTGCGGGGCCTGAAGCTCCCTGGGGCCTCCCACTTCTCCCTAGTGCTCAGGTGTCCTTCAGGGGTCCACCCTCCCTCCCAGAGCTACATTAAGGGGTGCCAAACAGTGCCTGCCACCACCTGGATCGGCACAGCAGCCAGTCGCCCCACCAGCCACCCCAGCACTTCTTGTCGGCAGTGTTTCGGGCTGGGAGTTGGGCTGAGCTGTGAATCTGTACACTCCCTCCTTTTCGAGGTTGTTACCTGCCTGGGGTGATGGACTGCTCAGTAGGATTGTTTTCCCATCACTTTGATCCCATGGGATTTATATTTTCTAGGAAATTCCTCCAAGTTTCTCGTCATTTGATGCTATTTTCCTGCTGTCTAGCATTGCCATAAATCCTTTCATATTTTTATTTGTATTTTGTCATTTTAGTAGATTTTGGGGAGGAAGAGAAATAATTAACCCTCCATTATTCAGTTTGCTCTTTTGAAGGGGAATTTCTAGGTATTCTTTGTCTCTTTTCTTCAACCCAAGGAGCGAGTCCTGTTTCTGTCTCAGCATCACTTGACACACAGTTCTCAGTCTCTCCTGGCTGTGTGCCTTCCCTCCCTCTCCCACCTTATTCCTGGCCCGCCCGCCTGCCACAGGGCCCCCGCTGCTCCTGTGCCCCCCACTCGCTCCCTTGGGTGCGTCGGGCCCAGGTAGAGTCCAGCTGCCGTTGGCCCCTCCCCTCACACTTGCAGCGCAATCTGGCTTTGCCTTGGTGATAAAATGACCTTTTTATTTGATGTGCATAATTTTTCTCTCCCCTGTTTTTCTTTAAAACTCCCTCTGGTGTTGGGTGAGGTATGCATTATGATTTTATTGCTGTTCTTTCTGAACTTTGCCAGAGCCAGGCCCTGGTCCTCTGACGTAAAAGCTGTTAACTGTTGGGGTTTTATTGCTCTGAATAACTATTTCTAATGATGTGAGCGGCCCGAGGAAAGGGCCTGGATTGATTTAGCCTAGAAGAACTCTTCTTTGATAGTAAGAAGAATGAAAAGAGGTTCTGAAATGTTAGGCTTCTTGGCTAATCCAGCTCTCAAACCTTTCCCTGTTGGGGATATGCTGAAACAGGTCAGGATGGATTTATTAGGACACGGCTCTGCTTTGAAGGTGAGTCCTCGGTTCAGGACTGAGGACTCGCTGTGGGGGCCTCCTAGCAGGACAAGCAAAGGCTCCCTTTCTCCTCTCTCTTCCTTCATTTCCCTTCCATGACATACTGCATGGCCTTGTGGTTCAAATGTGCCTAGGATATTGGTAACTTGGATGGCTTACAAGAAAACCAGACACTGTCTGTCACTGGGTCACCTTTTTAACACCATCCTGCCCCTCCAGTGCAATTTACCTTCCTTGCAATAACATTTCTGTCTAGAGAAAGTCTTAATGAGAAACACTGTAAATCTTAGGGAGCTCCGTTATGGAGTCTCTAGGACCCACGTGTGGCCATCCAAACCATGCTTGTGATGGAAAACTGGTTGAGCAGGACTGGAATTGAGTAATTCAAGTGTCCTATCTCCCCCTGCATCTTGGTCAGAGGCATGTTTTAGTGTTTAGTTAAAAACGGAATAACTTTTTTGAAGGAAACTTGTATATTTAAGATCAGTGTTTTAATTTGGACCATTCTGTGATTTCTTAATATTTTGTCCAGTCTGAACTATCCCATCCACATAAAAGCATCTAAAAAGTCTGTGTCAACAATAACTTAGTGATTAGTGAGTTTCGACATAGTTTGATTTCTTCAAACCGTTGTCAAGTTTTCACCCTGTGCGTCTCCCCGGGGAAGGCTCTGCCCTGCGGCTGGGGTGAGCTGGGGGTCTGGGCTTCCTTCAGTCTTCATGCTCTAGTCTTCCTTTGTTTGATCTTGAATCTGTTTATTTCAACCAATTTGGCCTCCAAGGTTATTATATTTTAATACAGAGATTATCTCAGAAAGAAACATTTTTATGTCATTTAAATCATGCTTCACAGTGATTAAACGTTTCAGGGATATTGCAAAGTTTTAAGGGGAGGAAATGAATTTTGAGGACCTGCAATTAACATAAAGAAGATTCTGAGTTGCTGGTGACATGCTCGTTGTGGACTCTGAGTGAGGCCCTGGACCCCAAGAGGCAAGTGGAGAGCTGGGAAGCAGAGAGTGGCTTTGAGTGAGGCCCGGGGAGGCCCAGGCCCAGGCTTTCAGGAGGGCTAGTGTGCAGGCCGGCAGGTGCAGCCAGCTGGCAGGAGTCCCTGGAGCTTAGGCAAGGAGGCAGGGTCTGAGTTCATGTCCGTCAGAAGCCGGGGAGCAGCTGTCGACAGCTGGAGAAGAGCTTCTTCATGACCTTTCTATGAAGGCATGAGAGCCCCCAGTGGCTGGCAGAC